TCGGCTGCTACCGGAGGACGAGCGAGAGGAGGGAGAAGGTGGAAGCGGAAGCCCTGTTTCTATATCCGGTCGGGTTGGCGAGCCGAAAAAGGAGCATCCAATCAGAGGACGGGAGCTGCCCAATCAGCTGGCAAGGGGCGGAGCCCTGAAGACAACTCGTGACTGGGGGCAGAGGGAGGAGCGAGCGGAAGTGCCACCTGATCGAAATCGGGGACCTGCGGAAAGAACATCCGCGGCGGGATTGACGGGGAAGGGGGTGTGTGGGGCGCAGTGATGTGAGCTCTTCCCTGACACACGAGACCTAACCACTTGGTCTTCTTGAACCTCAGTGTCCTCGCTTAGAAACCAGGGAAAAGAATTCTGCAGTGCCTCCCTCCTGGTTTCTTGACATTTTTATGGATACATAGGCCAAGAGAAGTATGTTTCTCTTTTATTGTCACCGGCCTAAAAAGAAGTAAACAACAAACCCCCACCATGTGTGTTTTATTTTTTTAGTTATAGTTACTTAAAATGTGTGTAGATTAAAGGCCAACTTGTGGGTTCCTTGAATGGAGCTCAAGTTACCAGGCTGGGGTGGCAAGCACCTTTACCCAGGGTGCCACCTCACCAGCCCTGTGGGTTTTAATACACGTCTTGGATGTTTTGCTTTGTTAAAAGTAGCTACATCAAACGCTTTTTTTTCTTGTTTTACTGACTAGGGATGGAAGGCACCTGCTAGGCAAGCCCTCTACCACTGAACTCCATCCCCAGGCTTCCTAAGGCCATTTTAAGTATGGAATGTAAGACATTTAGAAGGGTGGCCAGATGACTTGGAGGGTAAAGGTGTCGATTGTTAGCCTGATGACCTGAGCTGGCTACTAGAGCATGATCATATATGCACACACAACACAGTACACACGAGAGAAATGTCAGAACAAAAATTAGAGGAAGGGTAAGAAGAAAAGCTTGGGGAATGTTAATTCCCGTCTGTAATGCCGGCACTCTGGATGCAGAAGCAGGAGTGTGCTGGGCAGTCTTATGTCAGCTTGGAGGTATGTGAAAAAAGGGAGCGTCAGTTGAGAAAAACGTCTCAATAAGATCCTGTTGTCAGGCATTTTCCTAATTAGTGATCAGTGAGGGTGGGGGAGCCCATTGTGTGTGGCACCATCCACAAAAAAACTACTACACAAAGAAGTAGGCTGAACAAGCCAGTAAGCAGTACCAACATCCCCCCTCATGGCCTCTGCACGGGATCCTGCCCTGTTTGAATTCCTGTCCTGACTTGATTCAGTGATGAACAGTGATATTCTAGTGTAAGTCAAATAGACTCTTTCCTCCCCAAGTTGCTTTTTGGTCATGGTGTTTCATTGCAGCAACAGAAGCCCTCACTAAGACAAGGAGGAACACATAAGTTTGAGGCCAGCTTGGTCTATGTAGCAAAGACAGATGCCAGGGCAATTGATGGCTTAAAAAACTATATATATATATATATATATATATATATATATATATATATATAGGCAATGATATATGAAGTATTTCCCTCATTCCTCTTTGGAACACCTCTGTGAAACTGGCAGGGACTGCCATGAAGGGGTCCCAGGAAAGCAACTTTTAGTTTTGTGCTGGCTAGTGTTCTAACAACTGATATAAACTAGAGTTATCTGGGGGTTGAGAATGCCCCTGTATGTGTATGCCTCTGTAAGATTTTTCTGTGCGAAGCCTGGCGCTGGTGGCACACCCTTTAATCCCAGCACTCAGAAGGCAGAGGCAGGCGGATCTCTGTGAGTTCGAGGGCAACCTGATCTACAGAGCTAGTTCTAGCTAGTGCTGTTACACAGAGAAACCCTGTCTCATAAAGTTTTTTTTAAAAAGATCTCCCTGTACGTAAGTCTGTAGTACATTTTTAATAACTTTAAATGTTAGTTCTTTTAAAATAAAATAATTATTTTCATAAACTATATTCCAATAATGGTTCCCCACCCTCATCTCTCAGATCCTCCTCACCTTCCAAACTCCACTCCTTTCTCATGCTCTTAAGAAAACAAACAGGAAAAAAAGACAAACAAACAAGGATAAAACAAAATGAACAGACTAACAAAAAGAAAAAAATAAGAAAGAGCACAACACACACACACACACACAGAAAAAACCCATAAAAACTCAAAATTGGAAACCTTAATGTACAAGCAAAAGTCCAAACAAAGTAATAAGAGACAAAAAAAATCTCCAAAGATAGTTTTGGATTTGTTTTGTGCTGGCTGCTTGCTGCTGGGCATGGGACCTGCCTGAAGGTGGATGTATCCCCGGTGAGATTTCTTGGAGGAACTGATTTTTCAGCAGTTGTTAGTTGGAGATAGTTTCTGGCTGGGGATGAAAGCTCCTGCTTACTTCATCATCTCAGGGCTGGGACCCACTGGCTGGATGTCTGCATGTCTATGCACACTGCCTCAGATCTTCCGAATTTGTACTGTGTAAGGCCCGGGCCTTCCCTTGCTCCCTGGGATGAAAATCAAGGACTGTTTTGGCAACCAGCTAAAGCTTCCTGCTAAGTTCCGTGCTTGCTCTGCTCTAGCCTGGTATAATAGCCTAGGGCTCTATATTACTTTAAAATGGTAATTTCTCAACCTGCCAGGGAGAGCCCAGGCACCAAGGTACCTCTCACCTGTCTGACACTGCCCTATACCCCTAGCCCACCTGCCTGTGGAGAAGCTCACTCGGCGCCAGCTTCCCCATCCCCCTCTGGCTGGGAGGGGTTTCCATTACTGGGGCCAAAGGGTATTTTAACCCCGGATTAAGTTTAAATAAAGGGGCATTCTCCCTGAGAATGACTCAAACTCTCTATCTCTGTGTTGTGCGTCTTGTGTTTTAACCCCTAGGACCTTACCTAGCTCATGGAACCCCGGTCCATACCAGGTGGGTGGTGATGCAGACCTCGGTCGGGTGTGGAATGTTTGCCACAGTATTGCATCAGTCCTGTTGGGTCTAGAAGACACTTTCCTTGGTATCATCCGTCTTTTCTGGTCCCTAGAATCTCTGTGCCTCCTCTTCCTCAAATTTCCCTAAGGGAAACTGAGCCCCAAGGGGAGAGATTTGATGGGGACATTCCGATTAGGACTGAGTATTCAAAGGTCTCTCATTCTCTGTACATTGTCCAGCTATGAGTCTCTTATTAGTCCCCATCCACCGCAGGAGAAAGCTTCTCTGATGATAGCTGAGAAGACACTGATGTATGGGTATGGCTGAATGTTCTTAGGACACTTTCTATTGCTATGTTATTTTAGTAGAATAGTAGTATTTGGTTTTCCCCTAGGTTTATGGCCTATCTAGTCTCAGGTTCTTGGCCACTTAAACAGTGTCAAGCATGAGTTCCATCTCATGGAGTGGGCCTTAAATCTATCTAATCTGTTAATGGTTGGTTACTCCAAAAATATCTGTGCCACTATTGCACCAATGTATGGTGCAGTCAGGTCACCCTTGTAGATAGAAGGGTTTGTAGCTGGGTCAAAATTTACCTTTCTTCTCTGGTAAGGTACAGACTACTTTATAGTACAATGTATACTATTTGAAGAAGCTTCTACTGAAGTAGGTTTCTATGTGACCGTCAAATGACCTTAGTGTTTGCTGTCCCTCCCTGTATTTCCTCCCCTACTCCCCTCCCCACTGTTCCATTTAATTTTGTTCCAGTCTTCTCACCCCTGCTTCTCTCTATGTATTCTATTTTCCCTTTCTTGGTTGGGGGGGGTCCTTGCCTTCCCTCTGGTTCCTTACTATATACTTAACCTCTGTGGTTTTTCATATCGGGAGGCAGAGGCAGGCAGATCTCTGTGAGTGGGAGTCCAATCTGGTCTCTAAGAGCTAGTTCCAGGACAGGCTCCAAAGCTACAGAGAAACCCTGTCTCGAAAAACAAAAAACACACCACCACCAACAAAAAAGCTAACACCCACATATAAAAGAATGCATACCTGTTTTAGTTACTGTTCTATTGGTGTGCAGAGACACCATGACCAAGGCAAGTCTTACAGAAAAGAAAGCATTTACCTGGGGGCTTGCTTACAGTTTCAGAAGTTCATTATTATCATGATAATATCATGGCAGGGAAGAGGCAGTAGCTGAGAGCTTTATATCCTGACCCACAGGCATCAGATGGCAAGTTGGGGAGAGGTGAGAGAGAGAAAGAGAAAGACTAGGCTTGGCATGGGCTTCTGAAACCTCCAAACCAACCCCTAGTTATACACTTCCTTCAGCAATTCCCAAACAATTCACCCACTGGGGACCACCATGCAACCACACGAGCGTACGGGACCATTCTCATTCAAACCATCACAAAACCATATTTGACTTTTGACATCTGCGTTTCCTCACTCAGGATGACATTTTTTTTTCCTAGTTCTATTCATTTGCCTGACAGTTTCATGATTTTGTTTTTTAACAACTAGATCATCTTCCACATTTTCCTGATCCATTCATCTGTTGATGGTCTTCAAGGCTGTTTCCAGTTTCTGCCCGTTATGAATAGAGCAGTAATGAACAGGGCTGAGTAAGCGCCTCTACAGTTATAGGATAGGGAGTTCTTTGTGTAATGCCCAAGAGTGGTACAGTTGGGTCTTGAGATCAATC